GAATTTTTATTTGTGTGGCTTATGTCTTTTGCATTAGATATTAAAACTGAGGCCGGACACAGTGGCTCACGCCTGTAATCTCAGCACTTTGGGAGGCCAAGGCAGGTGGATCATTTGAGGTCACGAGCTCAGGACCAGCCTGGCCAACATGATAAAACCCCGCCTCTACTAAAAATACAGAAATTAGCCGGGCATAGGGGTATGCACCTGTAATCCCAGCTACTCGGGAGGGTGAGGCCGGAGAATTGCTTGAACCTGGGAGATGGAGGTTGCAGTGAGCCCAGATCATACCACCGCACTCCAGTCTGGGTGACAGAACAAGACTCTATCTCAAAAAAAAAAACAAAAAACTGATACTTAATAGCAAACCTATTACATTTTAACATAATTAGTTATTTGTCGTTTAAAAAAAAAAAAAGCTTTATTTTCTAAAATAAAAAAGGAATTAGTGTGAGTAACATTGTTTTACATTTTGCAAATCTTGTTAATGTCTGCATTCAGTTTGTTATGACTTGTTTTAGTTTGTACATCCCTTACTTGGAATGCCCTCCCTGGTCTTACCTACTCATCCTCCAATCCATCTCAAACATCGCTGCCTTTGAAGACCACCTCCTTTTTAATGGAAGTATAGAGTTGATTTCATCTTCCTTTGTGCCTGTCTCTGCATTTAATACCTTCTTGCTGCGTTACTATCTAGGCTTCAGGTCCTCGAGGGTGGTGACAATGTCTTATCCAGTCTTCAGTCTTTATTTATTGATACTTCTCTTCCTAGTTTGCTGAATGGGTGAATTATTACTTCCCCTTATGCAGTATCAGTTCATCTTCTATCCAAACAATCGGCTGTTATTACAGTTGTGCCAATTCCATCAGATTTTGTAACTTTTGAAAATTTGGGTGGGACTTTGGGAATATTAGTATCCTGAATTTTCAGTTTGGTAATTTTATTATATATTCAAACATGTTGTATAAGTAGTATGTGAAATATGGCTGTAGCTTTATTCCTTTATTCTTTTCAGGAAAGATAACTTTTTGATATATACGAATATATATATATACACACTTGGATTGCACATACTTTGCTTGACTGAAGAGAGTTTCACAGTTATGTAAAGATTATAAAAAATGCACCTTGACAGAAAGGGTATAGACCATAGCTCACTATGTGGATTTGTCACAAATAGACTTTAAAAAAAAAAAAAAAGATTTATTATTAAAGGTAGGATTACTGATTTCTTAAATAAGAGATTTATACTAACAGTTGAAAAGTACAGAAATATGATTAAGTGTACATGCCAAGGAAAATATAGTTAGAAGTCTATGTTGTAATAGTTAGTCCTATGTAGTGTAATTTTCATGAGTTGAGCAGGATTTCTTCCTGTTTAGAATCTCTTTTTATTGTTTTTGCTCAGTTAATATAAGAGCCTTATGGAGCATTTCCTCTCCACCAGTTTTCATGGCAGAAAAAATAATATACTATCTGTAATTACCCTTCAAGGCAGGGTTCTGAAACTTTATGTAGCTAAGAATATTCCAATGTATATTTTTGTGGTGTGAATTCCCGATGCCTGTTTCCAGGTAGTCCACATACCACCTTTTATCTTCCAAGTTTTAAAAAGTTTGTAGGATTCTATAGCTAAAAGAAATTTTGCAGATCTTCTAATATGACTTTTTGAAGAGTTGGATTATAATGAGAAAAGTGCAGGGCCAAAAACAATAATGTTTCCAGAATCACAAATCTAGTTAGCTAATGAACCAACAGAGACAGTTTTTGGAACCCAGATTTTCCATTCTACCTTGCTCCATCAATCAATAGGCCCTTCTTGACTGGTTTCATCACAGAACAGCTCTTCTTTGTCGTTTGCAGAATAAGAGTAAAGTTACAATAAGATTATTTGTATAAGCTTAGGGATATTAAAGTTGTAATTTTTTTTTTTTTTTTTTTTTTTGAGACAGAGTCTCACCCTGTTGCCCAGGATGGAGTGCAGTGGCACAATCTTGGCTCACTGCACCTTCCACCTTCTGGGTTCAAGAATGAGATTCGGCCTCCGCCACTCAGGTAGCTGGGATTACAGGTGTGCGCCACCATGCCTGGCTAATTTTTGTATTTTTAGTAGTGGTGGGGTTTCACCGTGTTAGCCAGGCTGGTCTCGAACTCCTGACCTCAAATGATCTGCCCATGTCAGCCACCCAAAGTGCTGGGATTACAGGTATGAGCCACCATGCCTGGCCTGAGTTTCTGAGTTTTTTCTAATTCTTTTCTCAGTCCCAGCTTTTTTTTTTTTTTTTTTTTTTTTTGAGACAGAGTCTCCCACAGTTGTCCAGGCTAGAGTGCAATGGCGTAGTCTTGGTTCACTGCAACCTCCACCTTCTGGGTTCAAGCAATTCTCCTGCCTCAGCCTCCCATGTGGCTGGGATTATAGGTGCCCACCACCACACCCAGCTAATCCTTGTGTTTTTGGTAGACTTGGTTTTCGCCATGTTGGCCAGACTGGTCTCGAACTTCTGACCTCAAGTGATCTGCCCACCTTAGCCTCCCAAAGTGCTGGGATTAGAGTCGTGAGCCGCCACACCTAGCCCCAGCTTTATTTTCAAAAGACTCTTGAAAGTTTTTTTTCCTGCTGAAGAATGGTTTGAATTTGATGAGGTCATCAATAACTTGAAATTGTTTGAAGGAAATAAAGAAGTCAGCAGAGGATACCTATCTAGAAATAAGGTTCAGTTTATTGTTAGATATACCATGTTCTTCTGGAAAGGACCCAGAACAGTCATAGAGTAGACTAATTGGAGAATTGCTCCCTAGCTCGTTGGACCACTTAGCTCCTCCCTTCTCTCCTGTTTGGGCTAAGCTGAAGACAAAAACAGCATTTGTCCTCAGAATATAGCGCTGAGTGTTAGCACGGGAACCATAGAGGCAGAGCAGTGTCCCACATAGCCTGTGGACTTTAGGCTCACAAGATAAACTGTTAATACATCCTGATGAGCAGACGCAAATCTACTCTTTCCCTCCCCTGTAATCACTAGAGACAACCTATTGTCTCTAGGCAAATTAAATTAAATTCAGAGCACCATTTATGGAAAACCAATACCACGAAAGAGAAGAATCAAACTCAGTGACTAGAGGATCTATCTAAATTTTTAGGAAACAATAGAACAAGACTTTAAAATGGGTAGTTACGCTGGGCACAGTGGCTCGCACCTGTAATCTCAATGCTTTAAGAAGCTGAGGTGGGAGGATCACTTGGGGCCAGGATATCAAGACCAATCTGGATAACAAAGTGAGACCCTCTCTCTGCAGGCAATTAAAATTTTTAAAAAATTAGCCAGGCATGGTAAGACACACCTGTAGTTGAGAGCTTGAGGCAGGAGAATCACTTGAGCCCAGGAGTTTGAGATTACAGTGAACTGTGATCACAGTGCTGCACTCTAGCCCGGAAGATCAAGTGAGATACTGTCGCTGAGAATAAACAACTAAAAAAATTAAGTAATAGAGATGATTGCATACACACTGAAAGAATGCTTTGCTGTCCGTACTTGCCAATGCAAAAAAAAGAGACAAATTACCAAAAATATTGGAAATTAAAAATTGAACAGTCAAAATAATTGTTACGCTGGGCCTGGTGACAAGAACCTGAAGTCCAGCTACTCAGGAGGCTGAGGTGGGCAGATTCCTGAGGCGCCAGGAGTTTGGAGGCTGCAGTGAGCTATGATCACACCAGTGTACTTCAGCCTGGACAACATATCGAGACCCTGTCTCTGAAAAAAAAAATTGTGTGATCAGGAAAATGGGCACAGATGAAGAATACATTAGTGAATTGGAGTTGAGAATTTTCCCCAAGCAAAGCATAAAATGACAAAAAAGATAAAATATAGAGGAAACCAATGAGATAAGCAGGTTAGAACCTAACATTTTATCATCCATTTATAATAGTACATCCAGAAAGGGAGAATGGCAACAGAGGCAGAGGGCAGAGGTTAAGTTTAATAACCTCTAGAATAGGTTTTTCCATAGCATTCCTTACGACCTCTAATATGGTATTGAATAGCAGAGGCAGTAGGAGTCATCTTAGCCTTGCTTTTAAAGTTGCTGACTCAGGGCAGGAACAGCGGCTGACACCTATAATACCAACACTTTGAGAGGCCAAGGCCAGAAGATCACTTGAACCTTGAGTTGAGACCAGCCTGGGCATTGTGAAACCTGTCTCTACAAAAATAAAAATTACAGAATTAGGTGTGGTGGCATGTGTATGTGGCCCCAGCTACTCAGGAGTCTGAGGCAGGAAGATGCTTGAGCCCAGGAGGTTGAGGCTACAGTAAGCCTTGATCATACCACTGCACTCCAGCCTGGACAACAGCCAAGGCCCTATCTCAAAATAAATAAATTAATAAATAAAGTTAGTGACATTGCTTGTGCTTCATTATTAAGGTTGGTATAGAATTTTCATAGATAACCCTTTATTAAGTTAAAGATATTTATTTTATATATACCAAAAACTAATAGTTTTTTTTTTAATGATATTGTAATAGGTGTTAAATTTTATTTTTTTTCAGCATGAGTTGAGATGATCACATGGTTTTGCTCTTTTAATTTGTAAGTTACATTAACTTATATTGAACCATCCTTGCATTGGGATAATTGGTACTGGTATACCCCGTAATTTGCTAATATTTTATTTAGTTTTGCTTAAATGGTCAGAATCAAGATCATAGCTTTCTCTTTTTGTGAATATAATATATTTGGTCAAAAACTATTACCCTGTTTTTGAAAGACAAATTCAGAATTATCAAAATACATATATTCCTCAATCAGAATGTACCTGTACTGATAGTAACAGCTTTGGGGGCGCTTTATGAAAAGAAAATTGAAGGCTCCTAAACAGTAAAGGTTTAAACAGGACACTTTTTTCAAGGGATGTGATGAAAACTTTGTAATTTGTTAATTGTTTCTCCTTTTATATGTTACTCTTCATAATTATCTTAGTGTAAATTTTGTTTCTCTTTAGGTACGCATAGCTGCTAAGTTCATCACTCATGCACCCCCAGGGGAATTTAATGAAGTATTTAATGGTGAGTAAAGATTAGTATTTAGTTATTTTAATCCCCCCTTACTCATCATTATTAATTGAATACTTGCTATCTGTTTTAATTCTTATGCCTTGTTGTAGCTATAACTAAATAAATCAAGATTCAAAGAAATTAAAATAACTTGTCCAAGGTCCCCCAGTTAGTAAATGTCAAAGCAAGAATTCAAACCCAGGTCTGAGTCAAAATAAAGCTCCTAACCCATAAATTAGTATGCCTGTCCTTTGTGAGAAAAGATTTAAGGCGGATTAGTATTAATAAATGTAGAAGCAATACTAAATTATTTTCATAGTTTTATTTTTATCATTATAGGTCATAGCTTAATTTTCTTCAGTGTTTTCACTTAGGAAGTCACATGATATGGAACACTTTCAGTGGGGCCAAACTGAGTATATCTTAGAAGCTTGTCAAATAGCAGATTCAGCTTTATCTGCCCTCAAGATTCACTTTCATTAGGTCTGAGATGGAACTGATTAATCTGTACTTCATCAAGTTCTTTACCAGGTGATTGTGAATCACAGCAGGTCTGGGAACCACAATTACTTACAACTTTCCATGCTATCTGCTGCCTTAATACATTTTACAAACTGAAAAATGTGATGGAGCATCTTAAATTTGATGATGAATTGAATCATTATAATCCCATCTTAAGTTATTAAATGCATCTTAAAGATTCCTTAAGTAAAATAATGATTGTTGTGCATCTTGGTTCAGTTAGCAAACATTAATTTTGAGATTCTAATTTTATATTAGAAAGTTAGCTACTTGAGAGGAACTGTATGATATTCCTCTGTAGCCAGCTCAGATGGTAGAATGGTCAATAATAACCTTTATTGATAAAATTGCTAAAAGTAACCAGGAGAAACATAAATATTTGCTTCAAGGGGTATAGGATATAATAGAAATAAATCGAGATATTTTTTATAAAGTTGTTTATGGATTTTGAGCACTAACAGCAAAGGAAACAAATGCAGCCTTTTTCTAGTCTTTCTTTTACATTGACTAAATGTAAATTCTTAGTAACATTTAGAAAAATAATTTTTTCTGTTGAAATTTTCAGTTTTCAATAGACAATTCTTCTTGAACTTTAGCTCAGATGAATTCTTGACTAGCTGGCCGGGCATGGTGGCTCATACCTGTAATCCCAGCACTTTGGGAGGCTAAAGCAGGTGGATCACCTGAGGTCAAGAGTTCAAAACCAGCGTAGCCAACATGGTAAAACCTCATCTCTACTAAAAATATAAAAAATTAGCCGGGTGTGTTGGCATGTGCCTGTAATCCCAGCTACTTGAGAGTCTGAGGCAGGAGAATCACTTGAACCCAGGAGGCAGAGGTTGCAGTGAGCCAAGATTGTGCCACTGCACTTCAGCCTGGGTGACAGAGTGAGACTTTGTCTCAAAAAAAAAAAAATTGGCTGACAAAATTAATGTCCTTTGTAGTTAGAAGTCCCTTGTTTTATTCTGACAACCAAATATACTTGACAGGAATAACATGAGAATAACTGGTACCAAAGCATTAGGTTAGGAATTGGTAAGCTACTCATGGCATGAGGGCTGGTTTTTGTTGGCACACATTGGCTACTACCAGGCCTTCCAGAGCCTCTGAAAGTCAATGGCCTTTGCCTTGTAATCAGCCTCCCTCTTGGAGTTAATACTTGGTAGTTTCTGAGTAGCAAAAGACTGTCTCCTTCCAAAAGAAAAGTGACTAGACTTCTGACACACAGCTTTTTAAAAAGGTTGTAGACCCCCATATTAGATTCTCCAACGAAAAATGTGTTTAAGAATTTTGCTGATCTTTGCTCATATTAAAGGATTTATTTAGATATAAAATTAACACTTTTAACTGTAGCTTTCTATAAACTATGTTTTTCATTTGCTGCGAAGTTCTTTGAGACTATATAGCACACATAATTGCACACAAATCTGTTAACATTAGCATCTTTTCATTTGCATGTTTAGAATTTCTACTCATACAGTACACCTGAAGACTAATCTTACAAAACCTGAATTTTAAAAATTCAACCTGGAAATCTGCTAAAATTTCTCAAATTTATCCTCCACTGAACATTATAACATTTTTTTCCTCCTCAGATGTTCGGCTACTGCTTAATAATGACAATCTCCTCAGGGAAGGGGCAGCACAGTAAGTACCTTTCCAAATCTACTTACAGTGTTATTCTGACATTGGATAAACTATGTTGACAGTAAACTAATACCCTAAAAATGAAGTTTAAAATACTTCAAAATAAAGCAGTTTGTTTTAGCAATTCTCATTTTTTTTTTTTCTTGGAGAAAACACATTCCCCCTAAATGTTGTTTACTTCATCAAAGCTTATTGTAATATATGAACCTACTTTTATTTCTGCCAACATTAGCCCCATTAAAGCAGAGTTTAATTTTAGCTGTCAGGTTTTCCTTTATAATTGTTCTAGTTCATATTGAATGTTTTTAAATGGGTAGCTATAGATAGGAATGATCTGCCAATGAGGAACGATAATGTTTAAGAATAGCAGATATTGGCCGGGCAAGGTGGCTCATGCCTATAATCCTAGCACTTTGGGAAGCCATGGCGGGCAGATCACCTGAAGTCAGGAGTTCGAGACCAGCCTGCACAACATGGTGAAAGCCCATCTCTACTAAAAATACAAAAAAATTAGCCGGGTGTGGTGGCAGGCGCCTGTAATCCCAGCTATTCAAGAGGCTAAGGCAGGAGAATTGCTTGAACCTGGGAGGCAGAGGTTGCAGTGAGCCAAGATTGTGCCATCGCACTCCAGCCGGGGCAACAAGAGTGAAACTCTGTCTCAAAATAAAAAGAATAGCAGATATTAGTAAAGTGTCTTAATAGAATTAACCATAGGATAAAAGCATAATTAGGTTATCTAGTGATTGACTCATCACTGTGAAGCTAATTAATCTTTCTAAAATATTTTCATTTTGTCCTTGCCTTCAAAAACATTATGATGGTGACATATATATATATATATATATATATTATTATAAAATTATATATATATATTATAAAATTATATATATATATATACACACACACACACACACACACATATATTTTATATTAAAATCTAAACTTGCTGTAGCGTTCAAGGCTCCCTATTATCTGGCTTTATTACTACTCTACTCATCAACACAAAGTTCTGTTTCGGCCAGGCGCAGTGGCTCACGCCTGTAATCCAAGCACTTTGGAAGCCAAGGTGGGCGGATCACCTGAGGTCGGGAGTTCAAGACCAGCCTGACCAACATGGTGAAACCCTGTCTTTAAAAAAAAAAAGTTCTATTTCAGTTGCTGTCTACCCAACTGGCCCAGAGTTCCTTTGTAAAGAGTGGAATAATGCTAATTAACTAAATTCTTTGTAAAGAATTGAATAATGGCTAGAGTGGGTAGGGGTGGGGAAAGAGGACAAGGACAAATTGATGCAGAGCAGCAAATAATTATCATAAAGTCCCTGGAATTATCATCATGATTGATACCCTAATTATACATTATTTTAAGGAAGCTAGGCTCACATCAGAGATATACTCTAATGATGGTTTCTCTAAGATTCATAGAATCTGCACTAGAAAAGGACATTCATGATTTGCTAGTTTAACTCCTCTATACTGAAAGAGTCTTGTCAACATCTGTCAACAGACAGTTATCTACTCTGAATGCTTCTAGTAATAAGGAATTCACAATCTCACAAGGCAAGTTCTTCAATTTGCCTGCCATATTGGTCCCAGTTTTATCCTTGAGAGCCACCCACAATAAATCTGCTCTGTACATCACTTGAGAAGCTGAAAGGGGTGGGTGTTGAATATCACCCAAGTGTGATTGCAACCTAAGCCTATCGTCCTGTTTCTGATTAGAACCAAAGAGATGTTGGTATGTAGCTTCTCAGCCTTTGGCTAAGATCAAGAGAAGTTGGTACATAGTTCAGATACTTCATTTGCTTTAATTGCACTGACACTAAAGCTTTGTATTTATAAATCTTCTGGTTCTTACAGACTATAGGATCTCGGGGAACCTTTTTGTTAAGAGAATTTTCCTGGACCCAAATATTTGATTTTCCATAGAGAAGAAAAATTCAGTTTTATTTCTGTATTAAAGCATTTCAGGCCAGGCATGGTGGTTCATGCCTGTAATCCCAGCACTTTGGCAGGCCAAGGCAGGTGGATCACAAGATCAGGAGTTAGAGACCAGGATGCCCAACCTGGTGAAACCCCGTCTCTACTAAAAATACAAAGATTAGCCAGGTGTGGTGACGTGTGTCTGTAATCCCAGCTACTTGGGAGGCCGAGGCAATAGAATCACTTGAACCCAGGAGGTGGAGGTTGCAGTGAGCTGAGATCATGCCATTGTAACTCCAGCCTGGGTGACAGAGCAAGATTTTGTCTCGGAAAAAAAAAAAAAAAAGGCATTTTAGTCCCTTTGCCATAGTCCTCATAGTAAGTGCTCAATTAATGTTTTCATAATCATTATCATAATTATTGCCTTCAGTCTATATAAAATGAAGGTCCTGAAGTAGCTATGATTTGCCATCTTTCCTTGATTTCTGACCACCAGGACCATCCCCAGATAATTCCAGTACTTCTGGAATAAGTAGGGTGTTATAAGTCATGTTAAAGAGTGAATTTCATTCTGACAGAGATTGGAAGTGAGATTGTTTTGAGCAGAGAATGACATAATGAGACTTATATTTTAGAATAATCAATAGCTGCTGTGTAGAGGGGCAAAAGCTGAAGTAATATAAGTAATTGCAGGACTATTAGAATAGTTCAGGAATAGATGCTAGTGGTTGGAGTAGAGTGGTAGCAGTGTGGGTGGTAGGAAGGAGTCAGATTCTGAATATATACTTAAGTAGAGCCTATAAGATTTACTGATGGATTGGATGTAAAGTGTGAGAGAAAGAGAAGAATCAAAGATCACCCCAAGTTTTTTGGCTTAGGCAGCTGGTAGAATGGAGATCCTATTTACTTGAGATACAATTAAAGGTAAGCACATTTTGGTGTTGGTGTTTATAATCTATGGTCTTAGGACATATGCTAGAATAGAATATTTATTTATTTCCTACACATTTTTTTTAACTATTCTACTTTTTATGAAGAATTTATATCCTTTCTGCAGAGCCAGTGTGTTTAGGATTAATTTTGCTACATGGGGATGTGGTGTTTTAAGGAGATGATTCATTTTAAAACACAGTAATAACTTTTGGCTGGGTGCAGTGGCTCATGCCTGTAATCCCAGCACTTTGGGAGGCTGAGGTGGGTGGATCACCTAAGGTCAGAAGTTCGAGACCAGCCTGGCCAACATGGCGAAACCCCATCTCTACTAAAAATATAAAAATTAGCTGGATGTGGTGGCGTGCATCTGTAATCCCAGCTATTTGGGAGGCTGAGGCAGGAGAATTGCTTGAATCTGGGAGGCAGAGGTTGCAGTGAGCCAAGATCCCACCACTGCACTGCAGCCTGGGCGACAGAGCAGGACTCTGTCTCAAAACAAAACAAATAATACAATAATAACTTTAACAAAGTAAGATTGAAAATTGGCTTTAACTATTTTAAGAAGTTTAAATATTTATTACTTTGCTTTGTCTTGAAAAGCCTAGGGAAAGTTTAACACTGTTTAAAACTCCATCCTTCTGTAGTTTATAAGTGTGATGATTGAGTTTTCACATGCATGTGTGAGATGTGCCTCCCTCAAACCTTGTTATGTTGGCACATTACCTGTCTGACATGGGGGAAAAAATCCTAGCAGTCTATTTTATTAGGTTAAAATTGGGAATTCTGTGAGAAGACTGATATTTTTCAAGAATGTAAGCGTAGCTTTTACTTCTTTCTTTTACTTTGTCTTTTGGTTTAGCTTTGTTAAATGTATTAGAGAGCCATTAAAAATGCAGAATGTAATAAATCAAGCTTTGGACAAACAGTAATATTAGGCATGTACTTTGATTATTTATGCATACCTCTTCAAAATAACTACTCTGTGCCTGAGGCTCTGCTTTTATACTTGACTCATGCTCAACTTCACTTCACCTTCTTCTAGTGTCAGATGCCTTCTGACATTTAATTGTAGTTTCTTATGACTCTGATAGCTGAGAAAAAAAAAATCATTTTTCAGTGGAAGATTCTTTTGAATTACTGAAAGCTCCTGCCTAAAAGATTAAAATTATTGGCAGTTCACATTATATAATAATCAGATTGCTTCAAACTTTGGAATTAGCCAAATGTGGTGGTACGAACCTGTAGTCCCAGCTACCAGGAAACTGAGATGGGAAGATCTCTTGAGCCCAGGAGTTTGAGGCCAGCCTGGCAACCTAGTGAGACCCTATCTCTAAAAAAAAAAAAAAAAAAAAAAGGAAAAAAGAAAAAAAAAACAAAAAAAAAAAAAAAACAACTTTGGAAAACTTGTTAAAGTAGAAGGTCTTTTGGAGCTTAAAGCAGAGAGGAAAAGGTAGTTTCAGAGCTTGAGGAGCTTCTAAGATCCCTGTGGAGAGGAGTCCCTTCAGAAAGCTGGAAGGCATTATGTTAACACTGGATGTCTGGGTAGAATGGGGAAAAGTACTGGATAGTATTTTCACATTTCTTTAAACTACCTTTTGTGTTTATTTACACTTAATTCTTTTCTCTCTTCCTCCTTTTTTTTTTTTTTTTCAACTTTTTAAAAAACAGTGCATTTGCGCAGTATAACATGGATCAGTTCACGCCTGTGAAGGTAGAAGGATATGAAGATCAGGTAATAATTGCCTTTTAGATAGGCTGTGCCTGGCAGATAGTAGAGATCCTATTAATAGAAACCAAAGCAGATGTCTGAACCAGGTACAAAATAAATCCATCTTAGTTTTTATAGTTTTGTAAATATTCTACATGTTAGGATATTCTTCCTCTCTCTGATAATACTGCCGGTTTCTCTGACAAGAAAGGAGAGCAACAAGAACAGTGAAAATGGAAGGATTTGAGTCTTACAGGTTTTCCAGCTATCTTTAATTCTCCTTGATAAGAATAACAGCAGACATTATATTTAATGGAAAAACAGAGGCATTCCTCCTTAATTTAGACTACTTATTACTTTAGGATTTTGGTGGTTGGGAGATGGGATGAGAAAACACTTCACTTTATGTATTTTTTTATTTTTGAAGCATATGAATGTACTACCTATTTTAAATGCTAAGTGTAATAATGACCCTAAAGTTTCATAATGCCTCTGGGAAAATACGTGAAAAAATATACAAAAGTGTACATAAAAATTAATACAGCTATGTATAAAGTACATATATAGATATTAGAAACCAAGAACTGAAGTATATTATTAATATGGGGGATATTTTGTAGCATAAGTTGACTTATTCATAAATACAATATTCTTAATAGCATGGGACTTGGTTTAAAAATTAATGTGAAAGAGAAATCTGACTAATGATAAATTAACTGCCTCAGAATTTTTATTGATTTGTTTCACAAAAGGCAGTAAGAATTGTCTTTTTTACAAAGTTACTCATATTTTTAATTATTCTTTGGAAGGTCTTAATTACAGAGCATGGTGACCTGGGTAATAGCAGATTTTTAGATCCAAGAAACAAAATTTCATTTAAATTTGATCACCTACGGAAAGAAGCAAGTGACCCCCAGCCAGAAGAAGTTGATGGAGGTTTGAAGTCTTGGAGAGAATCCTGTGACAGTGCTTTAAGAGCCTATGTGAAAGACCATTATTCCAACGGCTTCTGTACTGTTAAGTATCTGACTGCTTTGTTATCAGAGAATATTTTCTTATATTTACCTTATCCTTTGGAGGCTTTGGCCTGCCAAACATCACTTCTTTCTTCTTAGTTTTCCTCTCTTCTCTGCATTTTATTCCCTAAATCATTTTGGAAAGGGGTATAAATAAATGGAAATTTTTTTTTCTTTTTTTTTTTTTTTTTATCTGTGTGTGTGGTTTTTTTTTTTTTTTTTTGCTTTTTTTTTTTTTTTTTTTTTTTATTTTCTTCTTTCTAAGGGTTTAGAAAAAAATAGAAATTTTTATACGGAAAATTTCTTTTTAAAATCCCAGTGCACAAAAAATTTAGATCCCAGTGTATTCTGTTTTCACATATGACCTATTTACTTTTGAGAAATGTTTTACGCCTATCAGAAAAAGGTCTTTGGTTTTTTTTTCTTTTTTTAAATTAATCTTTTTAACTAATTTTTTTCTTGTTTGTATTTTTACCCAGATCTAAAAGGTCTTTGGTTTGGACATGGGGAAAAAGATGTATACTAAGATTATTGATCTAGCTATTGCTCATATTTAACAGGTTTTTGATATAGGCATTTTTACATAAAGCTACTTCTATATAGTTTAGATGTTTATATTAGGTTATCAAAACTATTAGAACTAAACAATTGGCTGGGCATGGTGGCTCATGCCAGTAATCCCAGCACTTTGGGAGGCCAAGGTTGGCTGATCACTTGAGGCCAGGAGATCGAGGCCAGCCTAGTCAACAGGATGAAACCTTGTCTCTACTTAAAAAATACAAAAAGTACCCAAATGTGGTGGTATACAACCATAGTCTCAACTACTCAGGAAGCTGAGGCACAAGAATCACATGAACCAGGGAGGTGAAGGTTGCAGTGAACCACTGCACTACAGCCTGGGCAACACAGTGGGACTCTGTCTCAAAAAAAAAAAAAATTTTTTTTTTTTCTTTTTTAATCAAGAGTAGTTTGATTTTCTTTTCTTTTGAGACAGAGTCTCACTCTGTCGCCCAGGCTGGAGTGCAGAGGCGCTGTGTCGGCTCACTACAACTTTCATCTCCTAGGTTCAAGCAATTCTCCTGCCTCAGCCTCCCAAATAGCTGGGATTATAGGCGCCACTATCACACCTGGCTAATTTTTATATTTTTAGTAGAGACGAGCTTTCGCCATGTTGGCCAGGCTGGTCTTGAACTCCTGTCATCAGGTGATCTACGTGCCTCAGCTTCCCAAAGTGCTGGGATTACAGGTGTGAGCCACTGTGTCCAGCCTGATTTTCTTTTACTACCTCTTGAGTGTAAAAATAGATAAATTTGGCTTTATCATGATTTTTCCTTTATAAAATTATGGTATATTAAGAAAAATATTCGTTAAAATGTTTTTTATTTTTGCATTTATTTTTAAATTGACAAATAAAAATATGGTATGTACAACATGATGTTTTGAAATACATATACATTGTGGGTTGGCTCTATTGAGCTAATAACATGGATTACTACACATACTGATTTTTTTTTTGTTGTGAGAAAATATCTCAGCAATTTTCACTAGAATATTTTAAATATTCAATGATGATGAGTTACATGGCAATCTAGAATACAGTTAGGAGCACCTACTTTGAAGCCTTACTAACTGGTTTGAATTCTGGCCCTGCCAATTAATTAGTTGTATGACCTTAGGTAAATTACTTAACATCTCTGTGCCTCAATTCTATGACTGTCAAATGGAAATAATTGTTTTTACCTCATAGGATTGTTGTGAAGATTTAGTGAATTAATAATATATGTAATATATGCCTGGAACAATGCCTGGCACAAAGTGAGCTGTAATAAATGTTAGGTAAATGTTAGGCTAGGTGTCATTATGCTTTTTTGTTTGTTTTTGTTTTTTAAATAATGGAGAAGACCCATTATGGTGGACTAGACAAGTCCAGAATTCCTGTGTGGAAACCAGGATTGCAAAGGGGAGACGTGACAGACTCCCATTTAGAAATTGACTTTTTAAACCTAAATATACTTTGATTTTATTGTTACCCATTCAAAGTTTGTGACTATACCCATTTTTAATTTGGAGACCTCCAGCATCAAATAACCTTACTAGATATCAAATAAGCTACAGAAAGTTATGGAGTTGTTCTGATGGTGTCTGCTGTGCATCAGTGTCCTGTGTCTTCAGCTGACCTGCTTGGTAGTCTGTAATTTCATCTCATTATTCCCTGTCGCATTTTCTATATAGTTCCAAAAATTTCTCATTGTCCTCTGGCAGGCATCTAATCTCTCATGTTTTGTAAGGATTGACACTGACAGAAAATCTTTTTATATCTCTTTTCTCCATATTCAGAAGTCTTCCCTGCTTGAATCTGAGGAAGAAGGGTCCTTATTCTTGATTTCATACTATCCTATGTACTTCAAGACATCTTCTTGGGACTTGGTTTTATCTTCTGATATATTTCTCTTTACTTAAGAAAAGATTTATTTCTCCTGTCCTTAAAGGGAATAAAAATCTTTCCTCAATCATAATTCCTGTAAGTTATTTCTCTTTTTTTTTTTTGAGGCAAGTCTTGCTCTGTTGCCCAGGCTTACTGCAACCTCTACCTCCTGGGCTCAAGGGATCCTCCCACCTCAGCATCCCAAGTAGCTAGGACCACACAGGTGCACGCCACCACACCTGGCTAATTCCCCTCTCTCTCTCCCTCTCTCTCTCCCTATCTTTCTCTCTCTCTCTCTCTCT